AGAAAATATAATAAATAGAAGAATATAAATACAAATGTAAAGCGCGTATTATAAATTCTAGGTGATAGAAGTGCCCCCTTGCATTATATTATGACTTTTGATATCTCTATACGCATATATATGTAGATCAAAGTCAAAAAGATAAACTTTCATCTTTCCAAAGTTTATACTCATGATTAAATATTTTAGAAAGTCTAAATTCGTAAAATTTGTCTTTTTTAAAGTGCAAATCAAAAAGTTTAGTCGTTTACAAAAGGGAAATTAAAATTTCTACTTTTCGAAAGACGAAATTAGGTAATTTGCCTTTTAAAAAAGAATAAAGCCATCGATTTAGAATTTATTATATCTAAAGTTGTGGATTTATTCTTTCTATAAGACTAAATTCACAAATTCAATCTTTTTTAAAAAAGAAAATGCATTATTCCTTCTTTGTAAAGTAGAAAAACAGAATTTTATTCTTTTAAAAAGCATAAACGTCATATTTTATTCTTTTGATCCTGAAAATTTCGTCCTTCTACCACCCAAATTTAGTCTTTTTGTTTAGAGTGTATTGATTACTAAAGATAAAGCAAGGCAGTTAAGTCTTTTTTCGAATAGTATAGTACCATACAGCTGTATAACTGATGTTTTTCAATTCAACCACATGACTTTAGATCTTCGGTTTATATAATGAATATCATCAATTATTAAACAAACATATTGATTCTCATAGTCGTAATAAAGGTTATAGAAATTTCCTAAGTCATCGTGAGCTACGGATTTATTCCGTTTTGTTAAAGATAAAAGAGCTTGTGGAATCCTAATAAATGGCTGTACTTTAATATTCTGAAAATTTCAATAATAGTACTGTTTTCAGTTTAAAAAAATTAGCGCTTTAATATTTTAATGCTGTCAGTACATGGATATTGAAAAAAAGTTAAAATACTTAACCACTTCTTGAGAAGGTAATGTTTAAAATGATAAAAACATTGACAACTAAGATAACTTATTAGTAGATAAATAATAGGTCAAAGATCTTGTGTGCGTATTCGTATGTACACGTGTGTGGGTGTCCAGTTAGTCATATCTCAGAAACTTTTTGACCAATTTCAATTATTGAGGGTTTCTTGCACTACAAAGTTGTTTATTGATAGTATCTAAAACCTAATACTATTTAAATTTAACTATTACTATATAATATAATTATTTCGTCAGGGGAGGTATTCCATAACTTTTAGACCTCGCCATGCCACAGACTGACGATACGTTTACTTACGAAGTGTCGTATCAAATAAATACAAACTTATCATTTCAGCTAGCATATCGACTAGTCAGTGTAAATCTAGTGAACAACGTCCAAGTTTTGGCCCTTTGTGGTCCTAATCCAACATTAAATGAGATTGAAAGACTAGCTACACAATGTTGGCGAAGCAGTCTAGAATCATTGAGAGTATCAGAACAATGTTACCCTCGGAATTTCCCATCAACAATGTCTGTAGATCCTGGAGTGTTAGGGTAAGTGAAACCAGAAAATTTATACAAAATTTTTTAATACTGATGACACATAAACACCGTAATAGTGATAGTAGATATGTTTTTAAAAGCTTGGATACGAATCTATACTGCTGATAAAACACAATTTTTCCAAACGCTTCAAAATGCCTTTTTTAAAAGTCAAACATTCTACTAACTTTTTAGGAATGTTGAAGATATTTCTACATTTTTCATGAAAAACTGCGTAAAGGAACCTAAACATGTTAATTTTCTCGTTGTAACACAACTCTAAAAAAAAAATTTGAAAAAAAACAATTCCAGAAACCAATGCTACCTGACCTTACGTTTTTTGAAGTGACTGAATCTGAACTCGATATTCAGAATTTTTCATAACCTCATGTACGTAAACTATATAATCTGCAAGCGTTGTAATTTACGTAACCATAACCTTATAATTTTATGATCTCTAAAATACAGAAGCTCCAAAACCAAAGGTTTGCAACTTTAACGCAGAGTTTAAGTAAAATTCGTATTATCTTCTATAACATTCAAATCGTAAAATCTTGCAAAAGTATTAGACTCCGTTGTCCGTCTAGCTGTGCGTCTAATAGTATCTATACTAAGTGCCATTTGTTTTGCTGCTGAAGTAGATGCATGACGAGTACTGTATGCTAAGAAAAGAAATGTATCTACTCCGCTTCTTTCCAATACGTTCCTAATCTAACGACTCAAAGTTTGATTTCCTACTGGTTTGAACGGCTTTTTAAAATATATAAACAAAGCTTGTTTGTTCTTCCGGAATTCTTCAGTTTTTTGCATATAAATCTTTAGAGCTCTCGCAGCACAGATTGTCTCATCTTCATAAAAGAGAATCACTAGCAGTGGTTGTTTTCTTCCTGGCTTTGATGTCTTTATTGATGCTGAGATTTTTATTTCAATTTTATTGTCATATTTTTTAATATCATTCAAGCTTATAAATGCTAGAGTTTGTATTTGATGTGCTGTAATTAACGCCAGCAAAGTAGCTAGTTTATACGAAAGTTGTTCTAGTGTGATGTCTGCATACTGAGACCACGAACTTAAGGTGGCTCCTCACTAAATCAAAACACTGGAGTATTGAGTGATATTTTAAAGGATGATTCTTGAAGGTGTAAAGAGTCTTTTCCCAAAATTTGAGACCTCGTCACCACCAAAATTGTTGAAAAAAACTAACTGGAAAATAGACTCTGTAACATAGCCTCTTATGGAGGGTCGTCAAATTGGTGGCGAAGGTTGTATGATATCTCAGCAAAGATACTGTAGTTCTTAATAAAATCTATGTAGCAGATAGAAGAAATCAGAATCTTTCCAACGACATTCAGGCACTTGGACATTACCATGGGTTTTATAGGATATTTTTTGAAAATAGTAGATAACTGTGTAAGTCCCGGAACAGATGAAAAGTGTGGGGCGTCTGCTACACCGAAGAGCGGTAGCCCGCGTAGTTTGAATTGGTCAGAAAGTTGTACGTAAAATGAATAGGAGTTGTGGGGAATCGTAATTATAATAAAAATAAATGAGACGCTGAACTAAGAAAATAATTTAATGCGGGGCTGGCTTATGTAATTTTTGTATACATACGTCTGCTCGGGTCACTGTATAGTACGGTATAGGTCATCGGTATAGATGTGACTGAACTTTTTTTGAAGGGACTATAGGTACATATCCATTTTTAGTCAAGAACCTCTACAGCCAATGAAAAGCTGTGTTGCAGTATGCTTACTCTTCTTGTGGGATTTATAGTGAGGAGCCACCTTAAGAAGGATAAAACTTGTTTAGGGTCCCACGTTTCATTGTACTTTGGCTTTGGAAAACAAATTCTGGACGCACCTTTGCATATTCTTTTCATCCCGTAATCCTGTGCCACCTCTGGACCAAAAATTAATGTTAGAGCTAATCTATTGGAGTTAATAGTTCCTCCTGATGCTCCTGCCTTCACAGATGCTGAAAGAAAGTTTTGCATTGCTATCATATTTAACGAGTGAGGATTTATACTTAATTTCTTGTAATATTTCCACCATCTTTTTAATGATCCTTGATATTGTTTGAGCGTCGATTCTGAGATTGAAGAAATTGCAATGTCGATTGCGTCTTCTGACATTCCCTTCAACGCGAACGCCTTCCAAATGAAAGTCCTGCCATCAGGGTAAGCTATGACCAGAAAGGGTGAGGTTCCCTGTTAAAAGAACGTAAAAGATTAATATCTAGTTTCATGATTAGCGGTATGACTAATAACTTGTTGAAAATTGGAAACCAGGGCTGAGCAGGCCATTCTGGAACAATTAGTGTTCCCTTAGATCCTTCTGCTTCTATTTTATTTTAAACTTTTAGTATCAAACTAAAAGGGGGAAAGGCGTAAAAAAAAAGATCTCCAATAGCTTTCGGTAATGTGTCAAATGATGCTGGGTCTGCTTGTATTGCCCACTCGCTGTCCTCGGTTGTTGACGATCGTACGTCTGGGGTCGGCGATATTCCTGCTATCTGCTTGGACGGAGCGGGCCCTTCAAGTTTTTTGACGTGAACTTAGGAATATGCTTTTGCAGACGAAGATCCTTATTTGAACTTTCCAATATTTGAGTAGCTTTAAGACTCGTCTAAATTTTTTCCGAAAAGCCCTTCGTCAATCAGTGTTTGATTGAGAGTCTCTTTCATAGATGTCTTAATATTAGTCAAAAGCAAGGATCGTCTGGTAAGAGACCAAGCAGAATTCGACAACAGTCATTGAGCATTTCAATATTTTTGAGACAGTTGATTTCTTCTTTACCAACCATAGAAGATAATAAAGCACTCAGTGCTGCCAGACATGTCGCCACTTTCTCTTGTTTGCCAACTAACCTAAGATCACGCACCAGTGTGTCCAACACCGGAAAAGCAGGGACCGCCACCTAGTGTCTGAAAAATCGCCATAAATCGCCACCAAAATATAAAAATAGCCATGAAAATCGCCACACAGTTTTGCTATTTATTAATTAATTTAATTAAACAAAAAACATTCAAGTCACACATAATTGGTTATGTTAAAAGGTTTAGATACAACTGAATGAAAATGGATAAAATTTTCAATTATAATCAGTTAAATAAATAAAAGTTTATTTCGAATTAATGCATTTTTATAAAAAAATATAGTCACGGATATCTTACATGCATATTATAGTCATATATACATCTTACAAAGCTAATTATAATAAACGAGTTCTTTGGAAACATATAACAATATGTGTATGGATATGAGAAATCCACAAATAATATCCCAGATTTGCCCATCAAAAAAATTTGTTTTTAAACTGGCAAGAAATTTGGGATTTTTTTTTATGGATTTTCTCATTTACATTTCAATTTTTTTCTGGTATACTGATGCAAGGTACATCATAATCTTGCAATGCACTTATAAGTTCAGTCTCTTCTTTTACGATATTTTGTTCACTAGATGTTTCTGAAGTCTTATTGTATGCAATACAAAATCTTTACAGCAAATCTTGTGCGAGTAGAATTTCATTCCAATTCTCAAAATTAAATCTAACAATTTTAGTAACATCCAATTTCGGCATTTAGTTTTTACTGCATTCAATACAGAAAAAACGCGTTCGACAACAGCATTACTTGACAGTAAAGAGAGTAGAGTTAATGAATAAGTAGCTAAGTCTGCAAATATTTGTTGACCTCCAGCACTTTTATGTGTATATACCACAGGCCAAAAGTCATAACTACTATCTACTACGTTCTTACCGTACAAAGCGACCCAATCTAGTGTGACAAGCTTATTCCATTGATTTTCTGTTAATCCAAGTTTTTTAGCATCCATAAATAAGTTTTGAAATGGCAAATCAGAAAATTTTGGTCTCAAAGTATGAAACAAGCAAACAGTTGGCGATAAAAATCGTAATTTTTTATACATTTCTATATTATCAGGCAATCTTTTTGATAATTCTAGAAAAAGACTTTTAATAAATGTATATGCACGGTTTTAAATATCTTATTTTGCTTCGTTATTAATGCTTAGGGCATTCAGCAACTTTGTGTACTCTATGCTAAAATCACAATCATGCACATTGATAAACGCTAAAATATCATTAACATTTTCTAAAACTATATCTAAGCCACCAGTGCTGAAATTTATTTTCATAACTTTTTAAGCCAAAAAAAGAATCAAACATTCTATATCATTATACGCTAAACCCAAGTCCACATTCGTTTTTTAAAACGATATATTAGTATTGTTTATTTCTGCTAAAATTGGCTTAATAATTAACAGATACAACTGTTTTTTCTCATCTTGTAACATTTCGTTTAGCAATCTAGCATTGCAATCTTTTTCTTTTTTTACTACACATTCAAAATGAGTTTTCAAAGTGTCATAATGCTCTAAAATAACCATGACAAAATAATACCTAACTAACCATCTAGTTTCTGATATTGGTAAAAATTTATGAAATTTGTTAATGGCACTGGAATCCATTAAAGTCTCTAAGTTAATCAAATTCCATGTGGCTTTGTATTGATACTTTCTGACCAAACTTTTACCAAACCAATCATAAATTTTACTTTAACTTTTTTTAAAAGAATGAATACCGAGTTTTTTTTCCTGCATAAATTTGATCCTCCGTCAGTTCCTAAGCCAATCAGGTTTCCTGTTTTAAAACTGTTTATCTTACAAAACTCTATTATTGCACTGTATAACATTCGATGCGTTGATCTTTCTACTTCTATCATTCCTACATAATCAGTTATAATTTTACTCAAACTTGTACTATAATACTTAATACAAATGCATAGGTACTTAAACAAAGAAATATCACTCGATTCATCTAATATAAATGAAAAAGGACTGTCACCCACATCATCGACTAGTTCTAACAGCATATTAGGAGCTATCACGTGTGTAATTAAATTATTGCATTTAGTATGGTGTAAATGTATATCTTTTAACTCTAAATTTTTAAGAATTTCACTTCAATCAATTGTTCGAATGGCAGAATGCACAG